GGGAATTTTTTTCCCCCATGTCGCTCCATGCCCATCCCTGGATGGAAGATAAAATGTGAAGGGATGAGGAAGCAACTGTGCTCGGTGTTGAGGCCAATGCCACATTCTGGTCCAAGACCGCCATATTTTCAGGGGCTCAGACTTCCAGAAAAGAACAATGTCATAATTGTAGGCCTGAAATTATTCTGTACAAATTATGACAAATCACAACTATAGTATGTTCTAGATCTGCCCCAACTGAAACTTATATGTAAAATCTTAGGCAAATGAAATAGCTAATTTATAAGAGCTTGGATAAGTTGTATGTATTGTTCATGTCTCCTTTTTTAAAAAAGATTTTTATTTATTTGACAGACAGAGACAGTGAGTGGGAGCACAGCAGGGGGAATGGGAGAGGGAGAAACAGGCTTCCCACTGAGCAGGGAGCCCAATGTAGGGCTGGATCCCAGGACCCTGGAATTGTAACCTGAGCGGAAGGCAGGCACTTAATGACTGAGCCACCTAGGTGCTCCCTTCATGTCTCATTTTTTTAAAATCTCTACCTTTTTTTTTTTTTTAACTTGAGATATAATATACATAAAGTATCCATTGGAACTAGAATGTTTCTTTTTTCTCTTGATGAATTTCCACAATGAGAAGTAAGGAAGGAAAGACATTTAGTGTACACCAAAGTCAGCCTATTGGAAACTATTTAATCAAAGTATTTACTTGACAATGTTCTACTTCCTTGTTAATTTCACATAGGTGAGTGTCCCATTTTGGAGGGGTTAGGAAAAACAAAGTAGCCCTTTGTGTTGGTCTCTTCCAAAGAGCTGAGAATGAAAATACCAACAGAAATTGTCCTTCTCAAAGGACAAAAGTATTAGGGGGCGATCTGCTCCAAGTATGTAGGAATTTTTATATTATTTTAAGGGTCCCATCATAAAAAGATTATTTCACTTCTTATTGCATTTCCAGATATCCTTAGGGAAGAAGGTATATAGTAATTAGTTTTTTGTTGATGTTGTTGTTTTGGGTTTTTTTTTTTTTTTTAAGTTTTGGAACTCTACCTTTAAAATTAGATTTACAGTTTTACAGTGTTAACATACTTTTAAGGTAGAATTGAGCTTCTATGACAGTAAAGTGGGTGACATTTTATCCATGTTAAAATCTGTTTATATTCTTTTTAACCCAATGACCTAGGTAGTAATAAACCTAGGATTGAGGCATGGATTTTGTATCCTTAACTAGCTAAGAGTTGTTAAATAAAATTACATAATGGAACAAAACAAACACAAACTCCCAAAAGACTACTCCTTTTGTCCAACTGATACGGTAATAACAGAATTCTCTTTGTAACCAAAGAATAGTTCCTGGGCCTTTATGACTCCATCCGAAGGGAGCCTAACACCCCTAGGTTATTTATTATAAACAGCAAAGGAGCTTATATCACAGTCCAGTAAGGTGGCCCAGCAGCCACATTTACCTATTGAAGTTCAAATTAATTAAAATATGTGTTAAAATCCAATGCCATTTTTAAGTACCCAATAGGGTCCTGTGTCTACTGGCTACCATACTGGGCAGTGCAGATACAAAACACTTCGAACAGGAACAATACCAATCTTAAAGAGCTTGTAAAAAAATTTTATTTCTTGTGTTTTAATTTTTTTCATGTAAAAAATGGCAAAATGTCACCAAGATCCTACAATATTTAAAAGATTTCTGAACTGGCTGCTAGAGCCTGTCAAAATACCGGGAGCTGATATGGCAGTTCTCAAAACTTCCACAGCGTTGGGGGCTATTAAGGACTCTTTGGAGACAATAATATTTAGCATTTAGCGCTCCTGAGACTAGGTGTTCCAACAGACTGAAAGGGAAATTAAATGTGTGCCAAGGGTGTTCAGCGGTTTTCCTAGGACCCGCATCATTCTAATGTTTAAATCCTAGAGTTCTACATAGCATTGCTTTAATTTATATTATACTTTAGTATTTGTATACTAATACACATACTAATAAGTATACTTTAGTATTTGTTGTATTAGAAATCATGCAGCTTGGTAATGGAATCATTAATGTCACATAGGGTTATCATGAATGGTACATTTCCAAGACATAACACAAAGTATTTGTCCCGTTATAAGCAGGGGACTCTCCTTAGAGCCTCTGGGGTTCTCTCTCCTCCTTCTGCTCCTGTAGGAAAGGTTTAGAGAAACTTCCTATCGTAGGCTTTTCTGCTACTTGTCAGCTAGGTTTTGCACAGCAGAATGTAGCTCAGGCCCCAGGAGAGCTTCAGGAAAAAAGTGAAGGAAGAAGGTCGCTGTCTGCTGCTATAGTGGTGGTTCTCCGTCACCCACATCCGCCTCTCTGGGGAGGTTGTTAGAAACTCAGGCTCTCGGGCTCGCTCCAGACCCCTGCATCAGATCTAGATCTTCTAGACCGGGGGCTTTAAACTAGCAACCACCTTCAGAATTGTTAAAACAGCCCTGGGCCCCTGTCCCAGAGCCTCCAATTCAATTAGGGTGGGCCGGTGCTGACCGTGGTGGGACCACACTCGGAAAACCAGTGCTCTGGGGAGAACTTGTTCGCCTATGTGGTTGCACATGGGAATCACCTGGAGAGCTTCCTAAAAGCCTGCTTCTGAGTCCCACCTCCAGAGATTGTGTGAATGGCTAAGGTATAGCCTGGATACTGAGATTTTTTTAAAAAGCTCCCCACTCATGATAATACACAGTCAGGTTCGAGAAGCCCGGCCTGTGCATTTCTTGCTCAGAACTTCTACTGGGATGGAAGCGGCACTGGAAGTAAGCAGCTCCCTTCTGACGATTCTGGCAGAGGCCAGAAGGTATCTCAGGCTCAGGAGGAGCTCTCGGGTTCTATCAAGCTTCTGCACCCATATAATCCTCACATAAACCCAGCCCTATTGCCAAAGACTTGGGACCGGCCTTATTAACTGTTCCTTTATTCTGCAAATATCCATGGTACCTCTACCATGAATCAGGCCTTACTGTAGTTTCTAGAAACACCTTAGTGAACAAAGCTTTGGTAGTTCCATTTTCCTTTTACTCCTAATGTTAAATTCAAACTAATTTCTTCAGTGGTATTAAAGGGAAACTAGAGCTGGACAGTAAAGTGGTGAACACAGATTTTATTCAGGGGGAAAAAAAATTCCCTAGTAGAAGAAAAGAGACCTCGGTAGTGAACTAGGCTCTATCCTTACTTCAACAAGGAAAAGTGGGATTTGTGGCCAAGGGTCAGGGTAGAGTCAATGGGGAGAAAATTGCTAAGAGGAAACATCTGGGCAGGGGGCTCTGATTAAATCTCTGTCACAGGATTCTTGCTGAGAAGGCACTTGATGGTTGGGGCGGGTGGAGGGGCATGAGGAACCCTGTGGGACCTGCAGGGTGATCCCCCAGCAGAGCACGGGGGCCTCTGGGTAAACTGCCTCAGCGGGATTCTTGCTAAAACCAGATAACTCAAGAGATGAGCACAGAAACTCCCCAAACCAGGGGCTAATGGAGTAGAGAGTTCAAAGGAGCATGACTAGAGAAAATCTTTGTCAGTGCACTTATATAAAATATACAGAAATAGGTAGAATACACATGTCGCATATAATGCATACACACGCACCCACACACATAGTCTTTCGTCACTCTATCTCCTCTTATCCTACTGTCCTTAATAAAGGATTTTTATTTTACTCGACTCACTCCCTTGGATCTTCCCATGAACCAGACATCCAGATAACATTTGGAATGCGCTGTGTGTGCTGATGGCGGTGCCCAGGCTGTTCATTTACCAATGGTCATTCCAAAATGGGTGGAGAGGCAGCGCTCAAGCTTCTGATGGACGGCGTTTGTTGCGTCTCTCTCCCCCTTCCCGCCACCTTACCCCTGCCTCCTTCCCACTCCGTTCCCACCCCTAATTTCAAAACCTTCCTTCCCAGTTTCTCTCAGCGCCCAGTCCTACCCGCTTTTCACACGAGCCTGCTCTCAAAAACCTTTCTGCTCCTCCGGGAAAGCCTGGAAGACCCCAGACCCCCTGCCCAGGAGTATCTGACAATGCAGTGTTTTCATTCGGATGCAAATTTGTCTCTGGACAAGATTCAAGGAAAGTGCTTTCCCCTCCAGCCGTCTCACCAGTCCACCCCAGCCCTTCTTGTCTTTTGTGTTCTTGTAAATAAATGAGAGGCAACTGGCTTTCAGTTTGAAGACACAGCTGCAGGGGGCTCTTAAAAGCCAGCTAGAGAGAGAGAGAGAGAGAGAGAGAGATGCCGAAAGATTTGTTGCCCACCGTTAAAATCTAGAAAAAGGAAGCTTTTTTAGTCTTTTATTTGCAATTGCTCTGATTCCTCTAGAAATGCTTTATTTATTTATTTTTTAAATAATTTAAGACCAAGGGTATTTATTTTGACTTGGTATTTTTCCCTCCTTTTAACCTTTCTGGTCCCAAAAGAAGAATCACCACAATAGCAACAGAATAAACTCTGAGAAGTAGGTTATTCTTGATGTTCTCCAGATAAGTATGCAACTTAGCCCATTTTGGAGGTAGACACTGTATCCAGTGACATGACCGTGGGGGTGGGGCGGGGGATTTGGCGCCTCGAAGTCTCATCAGAACGAGCGGATCCTGACTGCCTTCAAGCAGATCCCCGTGGCCCTAGGGGTGGCCTTTTAAAACCCCGAGGTGCCTAATGCGATGCCTCTGCTATTCCAGAAACGCCTTAGCTATGCAAGCAGAACACTGTCCCGCTCCCAGACGTGATTCCCGCCCCGCTGTCGGCCGGCCCGCGCCGGCCAGGGGTCCCTCCTGGAGGAAGAGACCGGGCGCGAGAAGGTCGCGGGGCCGCCTTCGTCCTGCGTCCCGCTCCCGCGCGCGGTGCCGCCGAGCGCCCGAGGTGCCCCCTCCCTGGCCGGGGGGCCGGGCCGCGCGGGGAAAGGTTGCGGGGGGCGGGGGAGGGAGGAGGCGGGGGGCTTTGCTTCCCGCTGGCTGAGCGCGCGTGTCCTCTCCTCTCCCGCGCACAGGGCACGACGAGCCGCGCGGCGCACCTGGCGGGGCCCGAGCCCGCGCCGCCGCCGCCGCCGCCGCCGCCGCGGGAGCCGTTCGCGCCCAGCCTGGGCAGCGCCTTCCACCTGCCCGACGCGCCGCCGGCCGCCGCCGCCGCCGCGCTCTACTACTCCAGCTCCACGCTGCCCGCGCCGCCGCGCGGGGGCTCCCCGCTGGCCGCGCCGCAGGGCGGCTCGCCCACCAAGCTGCAGCGCGGCGGCTCGGCCCCCGAGGGCGCCGCCTACGCCGCGCCGCGCGGCTCCTCGCCCAAGCAGTCGCCCAGCCGCCTGGCCAAGTCCTACAGCACCAGCTCGCCCATCAACATCGTCGTGTCCTCGGCCGGCCTGTCCCCGGTCCGCGTGACCTCGCCCCCCACCGTGCAGTCCACCATCTCCTCCTCGCCCATCCACCAGCTGAGCTCCACCATCGGCACGTACGCCACCCTATCGCCCACCAAGCGCCTGGTCCACGCGTCCGAGCAGTACAGCAAGCACTCGCAGGAGCTGTATGCCACGGCCACCCTCCAGAGGCCGGGCAGCCTGGCAGGTAACCGGCTCGCCGGGCACTTTCCGCGGCTTCGCCCGCGGGGGCGGGGGGAGGAGGCGGGAGGGGACGCGACCCGGGCGCTCCGTAGGGGAGCGTGCGGGACGCCGCGGACCGCGGGCCCTGAGCCGCTCTCGAGTTGGGCGTGTCTGCGGGCCGGGGTGCCGCATCCGCAGTACGTGGGGAGAGCCAGGGCGTCCCTAGGCTACGTTAGTGTCTAGACTAAAATATGCCCGTTACTTCTTTGAGAAGTAATGCAGTCTCAAACTAACGGCCTCTCAGTGTCTCTCTCGTGCCCCAATCCGAAGTCTAAGACATCCATAAAATTAAGTCAAGTTTAACAAAGACCCACGCAGACCTGTTGATGATATCCCGAAGAAGAGCAAAGCAAATAAAAACTGCAGAATCTCTGTGATCACCTGTAGTTACCCACATGCCTTTGTAGAAAAATGGGAGAGTTTTCCCAAAGCAGCCATTCAGTTTACATAGATTTGCAGTGTAGTGAAAAAGTAACCAATGATTGCTTGCCTTGAATTGGTACTACTTTGTTATGGCTCTAATTTCTTCAAAATTTTTAAAAATATTTTGTCTAAATTTAGTTACTGGGAGAAGCAAAGGACTCCCCCATACCCGTTGCATTTACATAGTTTCAAACAAGGGGGGAAAGTAACCATAAGGAAGTCCTTGAACTTGTTACCTGCTTACTATAGGGAAGAAGGGGTTGGGCTGTGATAAGAAACCTGCTTTTCTCTGCCAGTTGGGAAGAGGTGACATTTCTGTGGTCCTTAAGCCCATCAAACACCAGGCTGAGCTGGGGATTCTCTGCTGGTATCACCATCTGCTCAAGCAAGCCACTGTGATCGAAAGACTAATGTTTTGTCTCCTAAAGCACCTGACAACGAACCCATATTTATTGTTGATTTTTTTTTCCTCTTATGAAAGTATTTGGTAATTGTGTCACTCTAGTAACAGATGCTGTGCTCATATGTTTCCTTTCTTGACATAAATAGATGACTGAAGATAAATAGGATTTAAAAAAAAAAAAAAGGAACTTGTTGCATACAAGAGGCAGGTGTCCAAAGGCTGCTGTAATTCAGCACAGTAATTGCCAGTGTGGACCGGCCTGTTGTAACAGGACGCAGGCTGGAATTCCACTGCCGCCAAATTAAGCTAGCTGTGTTTTACTGAAATGGAAATATTCTCTCTCAGACTCTTTAAGAGAGTTTTGGAGGTAGCTGATCATTAATGCCGACCCAGCGGCTGAACCAAAGTTAAGGACTGGGGATTAGCAGTCTGGACGGCAGAGGTGGCTAGGAGACACGCAGGGAAACTTGGTGTATGTAAGTTTGGAAACACTGTTTCATGCACTTGTAAAATAAGTTACTAGATCAGGCAAGGAGTGGGGAGCCAACCTCAGAGCTTGTAGGGGACTGAAACCGCCCTCCTTGCCCTTCTCAGTGGCCACAGAGGGCAGATCCCGAGTCCCAGAGGGCCCTGTGGCTTGCCAACAGCCCTTTCATTTCGTGCGCAAACCTGGGGAAAGAAACCAAGAGTTTAGCTTCCAGCTCTTTCTCCTGCTGATTATATGTCCTAACCACGTGCTTGCTCCCCTCAATTGTCTTTGTGAAAATACGGAGTATGGATCTGTTGGAGAGTTTGGGGAGTGTGAATGGGGCAGAAGGAAAGCCTCGCTGCTCTTTACATCACTGAATTTAGGAAGAGGTTTTAAAAGTAAATATGTGGTGAAAATCGCTTATCCTCTGTAAAATCTTGAATGAATGTTTGAGAGTTTGATGTCGGGGTGTGTGTGTTTGGGGATAGGAAGGTGCTGGCCAGAGAGAGAAGCACTTCCCCGAGCTCCCGACAATTCCTTGTGCCTTCTCTTGTCTCTGCACTTTCAGGTGTTCCTCAGATTTTCTGACCATATTTCATCATGCTACCTGGTAGGGGGAAAAAAAATCAACGTGCCATGGAGGATTCTTAATTTTAGAGCTACAATGAACGTTTTAATGTTTGAGTTATTTGTTCCAAATGCATGCTTTTAAATATGCATTTAAAGGTTTTTCTCATGCAAATTGTTGCTAATGGTTTTTGAGTTTAAAATTACTCTGTAACTCCTCATAAATTCTTGAGTGGCAGAAGATCCTATTGCCCCTTTAGAAATTAGAAAACGATGGCCCAGGAAAGGTATGGGGACAGACTCTAACATTTGCAAGAAATCAGGAATAGTGGAGTTTGGGGACCCCACCCCTAATCTGCGTGCCTGATACCATTCCAGGCATCGGAAAGGTTGGGGCCACCCGGTTTGCTAATCGAAAACACAATTGAAGTCAAGGCTGAAAAATAGCTTTTGGGTGTTTGGGGTTGTGATTTTGGAGATTGGTCACTGATAACTACGAAGTACAAATATGGGCTACAAAGTAACTTTCACTATTGAATGAGTTCGTTCATTTAATAATAATTCAGCACCTCTTGCGTTCCGGCACTGATGTAGACCCTGGAGATACAGCAGTGACCAATACCAACCCAACTGCTTGGCCTCATTTCAAATGGAGAAGACAGAAAATCAGCAAGATAAGTAGTTTTGGTAGAATGGCCAGGGAACTCTGTAATGAGAAGGTGACTTTTGAGTCTGTCATGAAGGAAGTGAGGGAGCTGACCATATTAATACCTGGGGAACCGCATGCTGAACAGAAGGACTAGCAAGTTCGAAGGCTGGTAAAGGCAGATAATGTTGATATGTTTGTAGAACAGCAAAGAGTCCAGTGGGGATGGATCAGAGAGAAGGAGGGCAAAGAAATGACATGAGGTCAGCCAACAGAGCAGCCCGGTGGGAGTGAGAGGGAGAGCCTCGGAAGTCTTTTTTTTTTTTTTTTTAAGATTTTTTATTTATTTAACAGAGAGAGAGAGAGATCACAAGCAGGCAGAGAGGCAGGCAGAGAGAGAGGGGGAAGCAGGCTCCCTGCCGAGCAGAGAGCCCGATGTGAGGCTCGATCCCAGGACCCTGAGATCATGACCTGAGTCGAGGCAGAGGCTTAACTCACTGAGCCACCCAGGCACCCCAAGCCTCAGAAGTCTTGTTGAAGAGTCTTTGTGGAAGAGTTTCAGTGAAGGATGGCAGGGGAAACCTCCCAAAGGCAGAGGGATGGGAGGTGAGGATGGGGGGATGGGGCGAGACTGGTCCACAAAACCGGGGGAAGAGGAAAACTGGAGACTTGAAAAATGTGCACACTCTTTCCAAGCAGTTTTTATTGCTTAGCTACAATCGTCTCCAGAGATTCAAGGTTCTATCTGAGGATTTCAAACCATCAGTTGTAGGAGCACTTGGTAAAGAACATTCCCCTCCATTTTCCACTAGATCTTCCCAGTGGCCAAACTTCATAAAGTGCGGGCAGAAATCTGGGAGTTCTAGCTGTCTGGGAAAATACCAAATTCAGATTAAACCTGGAAAAGTGTGATTTCTCAGCTGTTAGGTCATCAGGATGTGAAGCCGTCTTAAAATGTTTTCTTTCTACCTCCTCCTTTTCCTCCTTGGTAGGTCTTTTCATCATACAGTGGTGCCCGAGTGGAAATCCCGCTCTGCCTTGTCCACGGTGTGCATAACACACCTTCTTGAAGTTGTTCTCCCATCTAGGGGATCACAGTAATGTCTCTTTGTCTAATTTAGACGTAAATAAGGTAGCATGCAGAAGGTACTAGCACATTACCAGCCTCAGTAAAAGTCAATTTGTTTTATTTAATAATACTGCCATGCTAACTGGGATGTGTACGGAAGAAGACATTCATTTTTGCTTCAGACACAAAGGAGATCTTTTGAGTCTGAAAACGTATCCATGTCTGTGCTGGACAAACATGGATGAGAGATCATCTTTGCCCTCAAGAGTCCTGGTTTCAGAACAGACATGAATGGACAATCTTACCCCCTGTGCTGGGATCCAGTAGATGTGGGCTCTGGGGGACCCTCCTACAGGGACATCTTACAGTGGTGTCAGATGTGGGCTGTGGATGCCTCCTTGATGTGGTAGCTCCAGAGCTGAGTGGTATGGACGGAATGAGTGTGGAATGGTAGCTGGAACCAAGTTCAAGAGTAGAGAAGGTGGTGAGGGAGGGGTAAGGAGGGAGATGGGTAGAGAGTGCCAGCAGATCAGGGTTTCCTGTGCCAGAAATGGATGGTAGAGGTCATGGGGGAGAGGGTGCGGGGTTGGGGCGGGGATGGGGGAGTAGAGAGTAGAGGAGATGAGTAGAGTAGTAAAAGGCGTGTAATTTCGCCCCTCCCTCAGACAGCTGACATGATCCTGTTTGCACGTTAAAAATTCCATTCCGGGAACTGAGTGGAGGGTAGATTTACAAGAAGCAGGCAGGGAAACACTTGGGAAGGCATTGGAGTAGCCCATCCCTGCTCCTGGGGCTAGTTGTAGCAACTCCTCCTGCCCCCCACCCCCCATCCCCTCCACACACCTGTTTTGCAATGTGGCTGTTCAATAATCATGACTTACAACTGGTAGAGGAAGAAAGCTAAATAAACAGCATAACTAGTTCTTACATCTCTCCCTTGACAGATAGGTTGCTTAATTTTTTTTTTCTTTTTGAGAGTTTAAGAGTTAAATTTATTCCCTTAGTGCATGATGAATAAAAGTATGTTTTTAAAAACCCCATACTGCCGTATGGGCATTGTGTTGGACACTTTGCAAACTGTATCTCGTGGTTTCCAACCACTTAAGGAGGAAGGTGTGATTTTTGCCGCATCCTACAGATTTGGAAACTGAGGCTTTTCGGTAAGAAATTCCTTACCTGGAGTTACTTGGCTTCGAAATGAGGGGGATGTAATTTGAACCTAGATCACTTTTGAGTCCAGCTTCTCTAAACTCTTAAATGTGCATGATACAGGGGTAGAGGCAGTGTATTTTTTTGTTATCAAAGAGAAACACCAAGAATATTGAAATACAGTGCCAGTTTTTAACTTATTTAAGTAACTAGCGATTTTGAAGGAAGCAAAAAATATC